TGTGTGTGTGTATGTGTGTACACACACACTGACCTGCATAATAATAACATATCAATATTGTTTCATTAATTGTAACAAATGCACTATACTAATGTACAATGCTGGTAATAAGTATGAAAGTATGAAAGTATGTGCCAGGAACATATGGGGAACTCTAGATACTATATGCTTAGTTTTTCTGTAAATCTAAAACTGTTCTAAAAGTAAAATCTATTTCATTAAAGTGAGTAGCAACTTGAAATTCACCAAAAGATTAGTTGATGAAAAAAAAGACAATATGTAGAAAATAATCTCTTTTGTCAAAAATACATACAGACAAATAAACTAAAAAGTTTTTCTTGGGGCTGGGGCTCACCTGGCATGCATGAGGCACTGGGTTTGATCCTCAGCACCACATAAAAATTAAATAAAGATATTGTGTCCATCTACAACTAAAAAAAATACATATTTTTAAAAAAGTTGTTCTTGAAAGATATACACTAAAAATTAACATTGATTTATTTGAGGTGATGGGGATTTTTGTTTTAGTTATATGGGTTTAAATGTTTTCCCTATACTGAATAAATACTGCTTTTGTAATGATAAATTTAAACATACTTACCAACTAGTTGGTAAGATTAATAATCTGTAGCTGGAAGGAAAAGATGGGAAAATGTGTCTGGGTAATCTAGAAAGTTTTAAGCCTAATGTAAGGGAAAAATTATATTGTAGCACTCTTAAGAGAAAATCATCCCTTTTTAAAAAAATATTTGTGTAGTTGTAGATGGACACAATACCTTTATATTATTTGTTTATTTTTATGTGGTTCCTGGGAATGAACCCTTAGGCATGCTAGGCAAGCGCTCTACCACTGAGCCACAAACCCAGCCCCCAAATCATCCCTTTTATTTACTGATTATAGAGGTAAAATGATTTATTTCAGAAAATTTGGAAACATAAAGATATAAAGGAAAATGCCCATTATTTCATGGCCCTAATATTAAGTGATAAGTATTATTAATATTTTGATATGTACTATTTCAGTTTCTTTCTCTGTGTGTATATACATACATATGTATCTTATACATAAATAGTGAGGAAAAAATTACATAAAAATATGAGGAAAAAATTATATCTATTCAAAGAGAACATACTAGGGGAGGGAGGGTGTCATGGAGACTAGAGAGAGAATAAGAATTTCTCATCATATTCACAGTCCCTTTCAGGGGAAAAAGCACTGGTTTAGGGACCCTTCTGTTTGACAGACAGTTCTAGCGGAGGAGGTGGAAACTGCACTGATTGCAAAGCAGTGAGGAGTCAAGAAAAGGCCATGAGCTTGGAGGTTAGACAAATGTGACTCCATTTCCATTTAAATGAGTGACCTCCAAGGACGCTGGGAGGAAAGGCTCAGAGAGAAGACAAAATTTATTTATTCTAGGCTATAAACTGGTAGTTGGAAACTATAAACCATTCATCTCCCCGTTCAGCTCAGGAATCTATAATGGGTCTCTACTTACTTAATACGGGGATAGAGCCTAAATTCTTTTTTTTTTTTTTTTTTTTTAAAGAGAGAGAGAGAGAGGGGGGAGAGAGAGAGAGAGAGAGAGAGAGAGAGAGAGAGAGAGAGAGAGAGAGAATTTTTAATATTTATTTTTTAGTTTTCGGCGGACACAACATCTTTGTATGTGGTGCTGAGGATCGAACCCGGGCCACACGCATGCCAGGCGAGCGCGCTACCACTTGAGCCACATCCCCAGCCCTGAATAACAATTTATTAAAAAGGGTTTATCACAAGAACGATGCATAACTAGAGTAAATAATTCTCTATGATTCTCATTGTCTAACATTTTTCTGGCATGTAGTTAGCGGCTCAATAAATATCTGTAGAATGAATACATGATTTCTATAGTCTCTCCAAATTTGAGACCTTGTGATGCATAAAGACTCCCCTCAAGTTCTTGCCTTCTTTCTTCTCTGGATTCTGAAAGCAATTATGAAACGCTAATACTATGAACCACTAATTTAAAAGCCCGTAATTATGTACCGTCGTGTCTCTTATTGTTCCCTAATTATATAAGGAATTTACATTCTGCCTCCCCGAGAGTGCTAGTTTCCAGAAATCAATTCCATTCAATTAACGCTCACTGGGCACTATGTATTAAGTACTAGAACCTGCCCTACAAAACCTTATGATCTATGAGGAACAGAAACACTATCAGAGGGGCAGGGATGGCAGTTCAGAAGTAGAGTGCTTGCCTAGCATGTGTGCGGCCACAGGTTCAATTCTCAGCGCCGCATATAAATAAATAAAATAAAGATCCATTAACAACTGAAATCAAATCAAATCCAATGATTTAAAACAGAAACACTGTAAGAGAGTGCACCCTAATAGAGGCATGCGTAAAATACTACCATCGACTGGGACAAATGAGTTCTGCAAGAAAAGCAGTCCAGGAAAGCCACAGGTAGGAGGTGATAGCTAAGTCTTGATGGATTGAAAAAAAAAAAAAGTCAGGCTCTTAGGGGAGAATATCAGGAGGTTCACGGAGGCTGAGGCCTTAGCAAAGAGAGACAAGGATGAGCCTTTCCACTCTGGCCTCAGCCCCCTCCCCGTGGAGGAGGTACAACTTACGGTTCTCTGCCCTACGACCGACACAGCCACCGGCGCCCACCACAGGAGCGAAGGGGCCAGAGGGCGACCCAACAGGCTGCCGGAAGCGGCGTCGGTCCCCGCCGGCCCGGGGAACCAGTTCTGGGAGCGTGGGACCCAAGCGGCCAATCGCCGGGTCGGACCTCGCCTGCAGCCCCTCCCCGCACGCGGAGCGCACGGCGCGGTCAACTTGAAATTGGCTCCTCTTCCTCAAACCGGCGGCGCTCTGAGCCCGCCTCCCGGAGCTCGCGATTGGTGGGTCCTCGCGGAGCTCGCGATTGGTGGGTCCTCGCGGAGCTCGCGATTGGTAGGTCCTCGCGGAGCTCGCGATTGGTGGGTCCTCGCGGCCCATCTCGTAGAAGCTGGGGAGGGAGGGCCGCCCCCGTGAAACCCAGATGGAGGAGGGAGGGGGCGAAGCGAGCCGCCGGAACTAGGGCCCGGGAGCTGGCCGCCCCGAGGGGTGCGGCTGCAGAATTAGCGGGGGTCACCTACTGCCGTCTTCTCCGCAGTTAGAGGTGCGCCTGGCCAGCAGGCGTTCTCAGAGAGAACCCCCTCTCATATATCATCGAGGGACTCTGTGGAGGGAGGCACCAAGAGAGGCCGAAAAAGGAAAGCTTCTAAAGAGAAACGAACCCCTTGAAAGCTACTCTTTAGGAATCAAGTCTCTTTGTGATTCTATGACTTCACAAATGGCCTCTCCTCCATTATTCCAACCTTCCCTTCAATCCTACACCACCTTCTCCAGCGCCGCCAGTGGACGCTTCTTTTTCTAAAAACGTTATTTCTATGGGTTGCTGCCAAGTCTATGAAAAGGTGGAAAGAAGGTTTGGGGAACTAGGGTAAAGGCCTGTGTTTTCTGCATTTTCTACTGCTTTCCAAACCCCTTAGTAAAGGGCGGTGGGCGAAGGAGGAGTCGTACTTTCACAGAGGACAGACACCGAGGGAAGGTAGTGGAGATAGAATCTAGGAGTCAGTCTACAAGAATATCCCAGATATCAGAGAAAATAGACTGGGAGGCTGTAGGTAGGTGAAATGGAAAGTGCCGTCTTTGGAATAGAACAAAAACGTAGCTGGGAAGCTCCGGAGACCTTGCTTAACCTTGTTATATCATGTTTTACAAGAAGATTGTAGCTCCCATCTTACAGAGTTGTGAAGAATTGGAAATATGATATATGAGGCACTTGGTACATATTTGCCGTCAGTAACTAGTAAAAATTGATAGTTATGCTGTAAATATTTTTCTCTCTCCTTTACCCAGGAACTTTATTTTTAGTGTCTTCTGTCTGGGGGCCTCCAGCCTCCAAATTATCTAGGACCCTGGTGAACCTTACAAATCTTCAGATTTTTTTTCATCCCCCACTTCATTTGGTGTCTTCCAGCTGGACACAAACTCATTCCTAAAATATGCAGATGGAAGCTGTGGTAACCATGGAGACAGGGCAGGTGGCAAGGAGAGGCAGACAGTGAGAGAGACCAATAGTGACAAACAGGAATAGAGAAGACAGAGTGATTCGGACAGGGACCTTCCAACAAGATGGAAAAATGAGTCTAAGCAAGATCGAGAGCAAAGAGATACCATGAAAGAGGGTGTGCGTTACATGCTCTGCTCATCTCCTTGCCCCTTTCCTATCCCCGCCCCCGCTTCCCGCGCAGGGGGAAGAGGTGTCTGGGAATGACCCTTGCCCTATCTAAAAATGCCCGGGATATCCATCATCTTCACACTTATCTAGGAGCTCTAAATAAAGGAGCTGAAGGTGTGTATACTCTGTGGTGTGTATTCTGTTTCGGAAGGACTAGACTGGGGCTGTACTGCTGTGTCTAACTCCAGGCTGGACCATGTTTCCCTGGCATGAAGACAACCAGATTCTCTGCAGTGTGGACGCCGATGTGGATCTTAATCGCCTCCCTCCACCCCTCTGCAATAGTGGGCCATATGCCGTGTGTGGCAGTCAGGTCTGGCGCACAGGAGCGCATAAACACACTGAGTGGAGATCTGCTGAAGCTCCGCGAAGAATCCGAACGCTCGCTGTGTAGGTCGCAGAGGAGTCTCCTAAGGAATGCTTAGGTTTGTTGGGGCTGAGGGGAGGTCGGCTGAGAAAGGGAAGTCAGGACTGCAGTCTTTAGGTTTTTCAGGGTTTATGTGTGCATGGGTGGGGAGCGGTTTGGTGCTGACGCCCCCACCCGCAGAGACTGGGCTATAAATAGCACAGCAGAGCTCCGCCCCCCCCCCCAGCTTCTCTCCTCCGGAGCCGGCGCTGTGCCCGGGGCGCACCGGGAGGAGGGACCACGATCCGGCGCTGGGGCGCAGATACTGACACCAGGGGAATCCGGGCACCCCCCCCCCCACCACCACCACGCCATATGAGCCCCCTGGAACTCGGCTCCTGCATTCCAGCTGCTCCATGGCCTCGTCTCCAATCCTGGCCTGGCAGAAATTCTGCGGACATTCAGGTATCTATTTGGGCTCACAATCTGGAAGGGAAAAGAGCATGGAGTGATGGGGAATATAGCCGGGGCAATAGAAACCCGCAATTATTCCTCCATCCCTTTTAGGTCTTAAACGCAAGATGTTTTCCTACCCCTACTCAATTTTAGGGGTTGTGGCAACCTAAAAGAGATTAGGAATGGAAATGTGGTGTGTGACTGTACCGGTGCATATGTGTGGGTGGGTGGCGTTCAGCATCCTAGAAAGGGGGATTCCAAGTGTGGTTAAGAAAAGGGGGATGCTGGAAAGGTCTGATAAGCCGAGGGGTGAGGTTGGGGGTGCGAATATCCCTGCGCGTGCACGTACATATTTGCACGCGCGCTCATCCTTTGGTGCGGGTGCCTCCTTCCCACCTCCTCAGGCATGCGCTGGGGGGAAGGGGCGGCTCAAAGGCAGGAGTTAGAGGAAGGGCTGTAAGCTTTGGAGATTTCTCCCGCCTCACACCCGGTGCCTCAGTTTCCCTGCTGAATCTGTCAATAAAATCTCTCTCTTTCTCGCAGGGATAGGCTTCACCACTGAGACCTTAGGCCTCTGCCAGCCACAAGCCCCAGATCCCTAGCCATCCTCGGCAGGTCCCAGTCCCGGGTTCTATCGGTGCTTTCGCCCCAGCCGCAGCTATGCTGCACACCGAAGGACACGCTCTTCTTCGGGCCGTGGGTCAGGGTAAGCTACGCTTGGCCCGTTTGCTTCTGGAGGGAGGAGCATACGTGAATGAGGGTGATGCCCAGGGGGAGACTGCGCTAATGGCGGCCTGTCGGGCCCGCTATGACGACCCCCAGAATAAGGCGCGCATGGTACGCTACCTCCTGGAGCAAGGCGCAGACCCCAACATCGCAGACCGCCTAGGGCGCACCGCGCTCATGCACGCTTGCGCCGGGGGTGGGGGTGCCGCAGTGGCCTCGTTGCTCCTTGCCCACGGCGCAGATCCCTCAGTCCGAGATCACGCAGGCGCCTCGGCGCTTGTCCATGCCCTGGACCGCGGAGACCGCGAGACCCTTGCCACACTCCTGGACGCCTGCAAGGCCAAGGGCACGGAGGTCATCATTATAACCACGGATACCTCGCCCTCGGGCACCAAGAAGACCCGGCAGTATCTCAATTCCCCACCGTCCCCCGGGGTGGAGGACCCTGCTCCCGCTCCTCCTAGCCCGGGGGTCTGCACGTCGCCTTCGGAAATCCAATTGCAAACTGCAGGAGGACGAGGGTTGTTATCCCCTCGCGCCCAGGAAGAAGAGGAGAAGCGGGACGTATTTGAATTCCCTCTTCCTAAGCCCCCTGATGACCCCTCCCCTTCTGAGCCGCTCCCCAAACCGCCTCGACACCCCCCGAAACCACTCAAAAGGCTTAACTCCGAGCCCTGGGGCCTAGTGGCTCCGCCTCAACCTGTCCCTCCCGCCGAAGGAAGACCCGGGATCGAGCGCCTGACCGCGGAATTCAATGGTCTGACTCTGACGGGTCGACCCCGTCTTTCCCGACGTCACAGCACGGAAGGCCCAGAGGATCCTCCCCCTTGGGCGGAAAAAGTGACTGGCGGAGGTCCTCTCTCTCGCCGAAACACGGCGCCCGAGGCTCAAGAGTCTGGTCCCCCTTCAGGGCTACGCCAAAAACTGAGCCGCATGGAGCCGGTGGAGCTCGACACCCCCGGACATCTTTGCCCTGATTCGCCTGAGTCCAGTCGACTGTCCCTCGAACGTCGCCGATACAGCGCCTCCCCGCTGACCCTCCCTCCAGCCGGCTCGGTTCCCTCCCCGCGTCAGTCCCAGGAAAGTCTGCCCGGGGCTGTATCTCCGTTGAGCGGGCGGAGGCGGAGTCCCGGGCTGCTGGAACGGAGGGGCTCAGGGACGCTGCTCCTGGACCACATCTCCCAAACGCGGCCGGGTTTCCTGCCCCCACTCAACGTCAGTCCCCACCCCCCCATCCCCGACATTCGCCCCCAACCCGGAGGTCGGGCGCCTTCACTGCCTGCCCCTCCCCACCCCGGGGTGCCCGGCTCTCCCAGGACCAAGCGCAAGTTGGTGAGACGCCACTCCATGCAGACTGAGCAGATCCGCCTGCTAGGGGGCTTCCAAAGCCTAGGCGGGCCAGGGGAATCAGGGCGCTGAGATAAGTGGGAGGAGCCAAGGAGGGCGGGGATCAGACATTGATGGGACAGATTGGAGAACCAGCTCTTACGCATACCTTGGACACAGGGATCTCTTGCATGTGCTTATGGCACGATGCACGTACACATGGGTAAACGTGTCCACAAGCACAGCAAACTTATTAGCAAAGAAGGATAAGTACTCCATTAACTGGGTTACAGACATAAGAATTCATGCCGTGGTCATTTCACAAGCATGTGGGATTACTTGAATACCCACAGGCACAGCACACCAATAAACACAGAGGACCACTTGTGCTAGGGTCCAAACTCGCTTGCATTTGTTCAGAAGCAGTAAGGACCCCTACTTATGGGTATTCTCCTATATCTTTGCCCTCCTGCAGAAGCAATCCCTTGCTTTCCATGTATGCCCTGCAACACAGCCTATCATGATTTTGCACACTCTACTTTCTCATGAATTTTCCACTCCATTTTGCAGGTCTTGCTTCTCTCTCCAGGCCTGGCTCCTTGTTCACACCCTGCTTCCAACCCCAAACACTTTTCAGGATATCTCTTCACTTCTTGGGGTTCCTGCAGCAACTCCCAGTCTCAGTGCTGCTCTTTTCCTGCTTTCAACTTCCTACTTTTTATTCCCACCCTGTTCTCTCAAACACTACAACAGGTTGTCTCATTTTCCCAAGGGGTGGGTCATGGGCTCTAAGCTRCTCTACTGTCGGTCTGAGCTTATGAACACTCCCACAAGTAGAAGTGGGGAGTAGTTCTAAATCACTCCCCACTCCACTTGACATATCAAATAAATGTGTTCAGAAGTCTCTGTTTTGTCACTTCTGCCTGGGGCGTGGGGAATAAGGAAGTGTGGAGGGAGGGTGATACTAACGTATAGCTACAATTATCCAGGAGATTACTCAGAGGTTATAGTTACTGTCTTTTCAGGAGACCAATTGATCAGCAGTAGAAGAAAAGGCAGGGGTCCTGAAGGTTTTAAGCATTTGACAGGCTGTCATTTCCTCCATTCCCCCCTGTGTCCACCCTTAAATTCCTTAAGATTTCTACACAGAGTGCCTCCCTTCACCATCAACAGTATAGTTCAGTAGATGAACTGTCTCCTTTTCTAGCTTCCTATTTCTTGTCGACTCAGTTTTTACTCGGGGACTAATTTTCATTTCACTAAGTCTTTTGCGTTCATTTTCTTCTACTTTTTACGGGCTATCTTTATTTCTGAGTCACTGTAGGAGAGATTTTTTGGGCCGGGGAGGTGGTTAGCAAAAACTTCACCTAAGTAAAAATGGTACATAGTCAACTGACAAGTGATGTGTAATGTGTGTGATGTGTGTCCATATGTGAGGTAAAAAGAGGAATCCAGACAGACTCTTTGAACAAGGGTGCCTTTCCTAACCTGTTTCCTGAATTTCTCAGTTTACTGGTTTTTCTGCATATATTCAGGCTTTTTCTCACACCAGTGGGATAAAGGGAGACACCCGCTCTACTTTCTTACTCTCTTCCTTAGGATTGGTGGAGTCGGAAATTTACCCAACAATGTGACATGGTGAAAAGATGAAAATATTGGGCATCAGAATACCTATGTCTGAGCCTCCCCGCCTCCCTGCCCCTTGTCATTTCCTAGCTATTCAATTTTGGGCAATTTAACCTCCCTATGTGTCAGTTTCTTTATTTATAAAATAATAATAAAAACTGGTTGTGATTGTGATTATTAAGTACAACAATGCACTAAGGCATATGACATACTGTATGCTCATTAAATGTCAGTAGTTTTTCTTGTTTCAGTTCCATCACCAATTACCATGTGATCTTTGGCAAGTCACATCATTTCTCCGAGCCAGTTTCCTCATCTACATCGATAAAATAAGGTGATGGGACAAATGAGCTCTCTCACTGTGTCTACCATTCATCCCAGCCTGGCATCCAGGCCTATTTTTCCTTCAAGCCCCGCCCCAGGGGTCTGGGCGGATTTCTAGTGCTCCCCGCAGGATTCCCCAAGACGCCCCGCAGCTCTGCCCTCCCAGACCGAGGATATCGTTTTTTCCTCTTCGCATTGGTTCTCCGCACCTCCAACTTCCTCAGTGATTCGCTTCTGGTGGCCTGAGAGCCCGCCCCCTCCCTCCCTCTCGCTGGTGATTGGCACGGGACCCGGATCTTCCCCGCCTCCACTTGACTGACAGCTGGGCCGCGGCCCCGCCCCGGCCCCGGCCCCGCCCCGGCCCCGGCGCTCGCTGGCTGGGCTGGCTGGGACCGTTAGCTCGCCAGGCTGGCAGGCTCCGGGCCCTCCTCCGCTGGCCGTCGGGATGGAGACGATGCGAGCACAACGACTGCAGCCCGGAGTGGGCACCAGCGGAAGGGGGACTCTTCGAGCGCTGCGCCCCGGGGTGACTGGGGCCGCGGCCACCGCCGCCACACCCCCAGCGGGCCCCCCGCCGGCCCCACCGCCCCCGGCACCGCCCCCGCCGCCGCTCCTCCTGTCCGGGGCCCCCGGAATGCCCCTGCCGCCCGGCGCCGCCGGCAGCCCCGCGGTGCTGCGCGAGGCGGTGGAGGCCGTGGTGAGGAGCTTCGCCAAGCACACGCAGGGCTACGGCCGAGGTGAGTCCGAGCCCGCTCGGCGGACGCCCTCTTCCCGGGAGCCGGGTCCCGCGGCCTCGGCCCTTTTCCTGGCGAGAAGCCCTCCCAGGCATGTCCTTTTGGGGAGTCTCCCTCTGGGCTCCACACGAGCACAAGCACCCACTCGGGCACTCTGTGGAATCATGATACCTTGTCCCGTCCCCTACTTCCAGATGGTCCTCTTTTGGCTTCCTGGTGTGGGATCCCATCCTTTATCTCAGCTCTGAGCGACTTCTCATCTGTATATCCTTTCAGTCTTTCTGGTGTCAGTGATTCCTGGACCGCCCTGCTAAGTGACTCCATCTCCTTAGCTTTGGCTTTTTAATTCTTTACTTACTTACTTCACTCTGAAGTCTCCAGTGCAACTTCTGATTTGCTGGGGAGTTAGTGCCTTCACAAGTCACAGTAATTGTGCCTTTAAATCTGGACCCATACCGTTGAGCCCATGCCAGCTTCCTGTGACTTAGTAGCTCACTTTTGTCTTTTTAGTATGGAGTCTCAGAACTCTGGCCTCTGTCTGTCTGGCTCTGCTTTCCTGGCCCTTACCCAGGAACTGAGGATAAATCCCAGGCCTTGGCTCTCTGAATGCTAAATTCTGTGGAAATGAGCCAGGTAGAAACCCTATTTCGGTTAGAAATCTTCAGCTTAAAGATGCCTGATTTCTAGGAAGGGGAATGTGAGGATTTTCTTTGTTGTTTTTGTTTAACTAGTGTAGAGTTTCTTGTCTGAGTTCTAGTTCCAAATTTATAGTTTAAGTAACAAGGAATATATGACTGGTGTGGGATTCAGAATTTAAGTCTGAAATTTTCAAGACATCATTTCTTCTGCTTGGCCAAGTCCTGTTTGATCCAGAAGTAACTATGTCTTTAACTTTCTAGTTTGATACAGAGACAATTTGCAGAGCTTTCTCTATAGACAATAATGAGGTTTTTTTTTTTTTTTTTTTTTTTTTTTTTGAGAGAGTATAGTGAAAAGAACACGTATGTGTACAGGCTTCAGAGACTTCTGTCACTTGCTAGCTCTGTCTTTGGGGAAAGAAACAATCACACTGAGCTTCACCTTTCTCAGGGGTTATGATGTGGATTGAGAAATTGCAACTGAAAATATAATGGGTACTTGTAATTCTTATTATCATCTCAAATTCATTGATTCATATTTCCTTAAGACCGTGTCTCTCCCACTTTTAAGTCCTGATATTGTAAACCCAGAGAGTCCAATGAAAACAGATTTTTAGATCCAGTTTGCTGTCTGTGCCTAATCATTAATTTACTATTAGTTTCTCTTCATTTTTCATACAATTTTTACTCCTACCATGGAGCAGGTACTTTGCAAGATGCTGGATATACAAATGGATGTGATTCTGAAATTCATCAAGAGTCCATACAGTTATGTTTCTAGTTTAATTCATGGGTTTAACAAGGCTATGTGATGGGATGGCCATCAGCCATTATCCTGATGTTTGTTCGGATCTCTTTAAGTCAAGACCAAGGGAAAGTCTTTGCCTCTGGGCATAGGAATAGCCAGGAGTGATCAACCTAAATCTGAATTCTTCCTCTGGGAAACTTATTGGTGTTCATTAAAATTATAGAGGAGTGTACCCTTTTTCCTTGTCTATGTTACCTGGAAAGCCTCTGGTTTGGCTTCCAAACTGGGTGTCTTATAAAACCTTAATTTCCTCAGAAAGGATGAGGGAACAAAGAGATTGTGCTGACAAAGAGCAGTCACTCAGGCTTCAGACTCTGTGGTGATTCTCTCCTCCAGTCTCCTCCAGTCTCCCCGCCTCCTCATTATTCTCGAGTTACCCATTTCCAGTCTGGGTGTCCAGCCAGAGTTTGGCAGATAGTTCAGCTTTAGGCAAGCAAAATCTCTGCCGATTTGGCTCAGAAGTCCTTTACCACATGGAACCACTTATTCTGCTCCGATTAATAGGTGAAGCTGCCATTGGCATGTACCCACATACCCGTGTGACTGATGGCATGGTAATTGGGGGATGGCTCTATTCCCCTGAAAACAATTTACTTTGGTCTCTGTCCAAATCATTTTCTGATCCAACAATGCCTTGCACATCATCTTCAATCCACATCCTTCATCTTCTTCCTGTCTACTCAAATTCATCCTTTTCAGTTCAGTCTTTAGATTCATTTTCCACTCATATTGGATCGAAGCATTTAAGCAAAAAAGCTCTTCTCTTATTTTACCTATTTGTCCTTTATCTCCCCATGCCTCTCACCTGCCTGAGAGACACACATAGTTCTGTTTGCTGTTGGATCTTTTATGTATATATATTTTTCCTTTCCTTTCCTTTCTTTTCTTTCTTTTTATGTGGTGCTGAAGATCGAAACTATTGCCTCCCATGTGCTAGGCAAGTGCTCTACGATTGAGCCTCAACCCCAGCCCTTATGTTGGATCTTAATCAGTTTAAAGTGTGTGTGTGTGTGTATATATATATATATATATATATATATATAGAGAGAGAGAGAGAGAGAGAGAGAGAGAGAGAGAGAGAGAGAGAGAAAGAGAGAATTTGGGATCAGAGAACCTGGCCCTGCCAAATAATGGCTGTGCAGCTTGGAGAAAATGCTTAATCTCTCTATGCCTCATCTATTTTGTTTATTCATTTAACAAATATTTATTGATTACCAGATGCAGTGGTGAACAAGGCAGTCTTCTTGATGGAGTTCACAGTCTGCTTCACAGATCATGTGAGGATTAATGGTATAATAAAGCAGGATAGTACAATAAAAAGGGTTGGCTTTGTAAACAAATGAATATTTTTTTCTAAACCCTGTTCTGCTACTTCTGGCCTTTTCCTTGTTTGCTTTTAGTGAAATGGATGTTATCATACCTATTTTGATAGTTTTGTGTGAATTAAATGAAAACATGAATGTCAAGCATGCAGCACATAGTACTCAATGAGTGATTGCTATTACTGTGCATTTGTAAATGCTTTGAAAACTGTACATATGATGGGCATTGTTCACATTACTATGTTTCTCTCCCCTTTTTTCCACATAGCATGTAGATCTTCTCTCATGTTTAACATCTGGCAGTCCCTAAACTGGCATGATTGAGCAAGTCACTTTCCTTGCTTTATAACTGTTATATTTCCATCTGCAAGCCTCTTGTTTTGGAATTATTGCTCTCCCATTATATTACAATAGGGCTATGTAATTGGAGATTTTGCCCACCTACTCTACTGCGCTGACTAAATGAATCTTATGTAATATTTTCTGTTTAATCTTTCCTCTTCATCAGGTTTTTCTAAAAGTGATTGAATTACACTGATTGGTCTGAATATTACCAGTTTTTAGAAATGTTAGATTAATCCCAATATTAGTTTCTTACAGCTGCTGTAACAAATTCTCACAAATTTTGCTGCTTAAAACAACAGAAGTTTATTCGCCCACAGCTCTGTTAGTATTAAATCCAAAGTCAGTATCACTGAGCCACAAATCAAGGTGTGGGCAAGGAGGTGTTCTCTCCAGAAATTTAAAGGAGAGTTCATTCCTTGCCGATTCCAGCTTCTGCTGACATTCCTTGGCTTGTGGCTCTCTCTCTCCAATCTCTGCCTCCATGCCTTTCCTCTTCTGTATTTTGCCAAATCTGAGCTCCCTCTTATAAGGACACTTTTGATTGCATTTAGGGCCCAACAGGATAATCTAGGATAATCTCCCCACATTGCAAAGTCTTTGTCACATAAGGTAATATTCACAGGTCCCAGAGATTAGACATACATCTAGGCAGAAGGTATTATTGAGCCTAGCCTAGTCCCCTATTGAAGTCACTGGTGCTTTACAGTCCCTCCCTTCCAAAGAGACTGTGCATTATAAGCTTATTAATTTTAAAGCTATTCCCTTTAAAAAATGAAATAGAGCAGAATATTTTTAACTACCTTGACTATTTTCCATAATAACTTGAACGAAGGTAGGCCAGCCTATTCTCACAAACATGTATGATCAGGGAAAACCTTTTTATTAATCTCTCAATTTTATTAGCTATTTATTATCTATTTATCCCTGCTTCCTTACCACAATATTATATTTATTATTGTAATATAAAATTTTTTCTGTAGTTCATTGTTGCTTTTTGTTTTTTGAGTGCTGGGGATTGGACCTAGGGCTTCAAGAATGCTAAGCATCTGTACCACTGAGATACACCCAACCCAGCCCCCAGGTGTTGTTTTAATGTCTCCATTCTGGTGGACAAATGGTCTTTACCTCTCATACCACTTAGACATGCATCTAATATTTCATCTTCTAAAGGTAGAAAACAAATCATTCTCTTTTGTGTTGTCATTAAATGTCATGACATAGACATTCTTCCTGTCTTGGTCTTTCTGATGCCCTTCAGCCCATCTGTCATTGCCAACCAGAAAGCAATCGTATCTGCCCAATGTGTCTGTTTCCTCCCTCACTCTTCTTTACTCATATGTAAACCATTATATTCATGATTTCTCATAGAAAATAAAACTACAGATACCACTCCCACACCCAGAAATGCTCACATGTATGTATGCAGGCACGCGCACATGCACGCACACATTACTTACCAGGTTTATGGGGGTTATGAACCCTATGAGGTTGAGCTGTGAACAGGATCCCGAACCCTGGATTAAGATTCCCAAATGCCCCAACTGTTACATTTGTGTGACCTCAAGCAAATCATCTGCCCTTCCTTAGTCTCAGCTCTAAAAATCACTCCCTGAACATTTTCAAGTGCAGATCACAATTAATTGCTTTTTTTCCTGACCATTTTGTGTAGTTTCTCATTTCATACTCACATTTCTGAAGTAAGACTTCCCATTTCCTATGGATTTGAGTGATAATTAAAAAAAAAAAAAACAGTCCTATACTCTGTGAAGAGAGGGATTTAACTGGATGTAGAATAGACATATGCTTTTTACTAGGACCTTCCCAATTATGGTGGTCTCCTCCCCTTCTTCTTTATTCCACTGTTCTCCCTGTTGTTTGCATGTCAGGAAAGCTGTCACTCAGTGCATTGTGCTAGATTGTCTCAAAGAGGGAACTGGGGCTGAAAAGATCTCAATGGAAAGAACAAAGATGGATAAGCTTTCTGGGCAGAAGTGACCTTTAAAGAGCCCTTGCCAAAACTAAGGGTGGGAAAGAGAATGTTTCCTTTTCATGCTCCCTTTTAATAGAAGACTGAACATTCTAAAAAGTCAGTTAAGTATAAGGTAGTAGAGAAGAGCTTATTCTGCTTTTCAAACTCCGGCTAGAATATGGGGTCCTGGTTTCAGTTTGAGAGCAGGTGAGATAACATTATTGGTCACTAGGTTTTGAACACTAGCTGGCAGGGATTGTGTTATTCTTTGTATCTCTAATGACTACAGTGAGCTGGGTACCTATTAAATCTCGAGTTCTTAATGAAAATGTGCAGATCAGATCTCCTGCTGTAGGGAGCATAAGTGACTGACAGCCTCAGCTCCTGCCCCCTCTAAGTCCATCACCACATTTGTACCGAGGCCCATCTTGTTGTACACTGCTCCCAGACAATGACTGAGCATAACAGGAGTATTAATGCAGGCACACCTTGTTAAGATTGTGGGATTCCTTTGATATGAGGACTTCCCACTGGCTTGAGCAAACCTTTCTTGGAACAACCTGCAGTCTGAAGCATCTAAACCTCCTTCTTTCCTTCTCTTCTATATGTATCAGACCTCACTGCGATCTGAAGGCTCTCCCCGTCTTCTCCTACTTCCTCTCTAGAAAATCTTTTACATGTCTATCCTATTTGGATGTCTTCTTGGCAGACCTGAATTAGCACAATATGAAAGAGTGAATGAGTCCTTGTTGTTTGTAAGAGTGAGAAAGTGATCATGTGGCAATATATTGGAGAGCACGTTTGACAATTTATTATGAGGCCTTGAAGCCATTTGAAATGTTTGGAACCCTAGAGTCAAAGGAAAAATTATGTTTTATAAAGGTAAAATGATCTCATTCCCCCTGTTTAAAATCCTTCAGTTGCTTCCCATCTCACCCTAGGATAAAGCCAGTGCTCTGACAGGGCCTTTAGGCCCTACCTGGTCTGGTTCATACCTCCCTTTTTAAGCCCATCTTGCATTCCATTCCCCTCACTCTTTTGTAGCCACATTGGCCTTCTTTTAGTCCCTTCATTTACCATGTTCCCTGCTGTCATACAGCCTTTGGACGTGCTGTTTCTTATGCTCAGGGCACTATTCTTTTACTTTTTATCTGGTGGATTCCTGCTCACACCTCAGCTTAGATATCAACTCTTCAGGGTAACTTTCTTTACTAGAGCAGATATTCCTACATTGCCCACTATCTGCCTCTCCTAGCACTTATCACAGTTGGAATTTTATGTATGTTTGAGATGATTTAACATCTTTTTTCCTCTTTACACTGTGTACATGTTACATTCCCTCTTTAGAATGTATTCTACTATTTATTATAGCTTAGAACAGTCTGGCATAGAGAAAGTACTTGCTGCCTATTTGTGGACTAAATACTTGTAGGAAGTGTTCTGGAATACAGGGTCAGGTCTGGAGTTTGATTTTACTCTACTTCAATCTAATAAGTTAGCCAGTTACTCTTTCTTGGATGTTGGCAGAAGTCAAGAGATTTCTGGGTCAGAAATAAAGAACTTTATTACTCATAGCACAGCAGGTAACATGAGCATTGTGGTGCATCAGTTCCCCTTGTCTCCCGAGTCTTATGTGGAGGACTCAGGTGGATGCTACACAGGCCATAGGTTATATCATGAGAGGAACACTGAACTTGGGGAAACTACCATTTTATTATAAGCAGTAGCAAGATTGTTCTTTGTCTTAGAGGGAGGCATTACCTCATCCCTCAAGGTCCATTGGTGTAAACACAGTCCTGAGAAATGGTCCAAGTTAAGAGCAGTCAGGACTTTATACTCTTGACATGCTCAGCAAGGTTTAAAGGAGTAGAAGAGACCCTTGTAGGAGTGCTTCCCAACATACTGTTCCTCCACAAATAATTTTTACCCAATTAAAGATTCAGGGGCTGGGGATGTGGCTCAACTGGTAGCGCGCTCGCCTGGAGTGCGTGCGGTCCGGGTTCGATCCTCAGCACCACATACCAACAAAGATATTGTGTCCGCCGAGAACTAAAAAATAAATATTAAAAATAAAATTCTAAAAAAAAAAAAAAAGATTCAGAAGAGAATTGGTCTCCTCACTTTGTTTCATAGTATACACATATTATTCCAGGCTGGAAAGGGAATCCGGTCATTGGTTTGCTCACTAGAAGCATAAGCTTGAGAATGGCTAATAGCCATATTTCCTTAAGCAGTAGTATTGCCCAGTGGTTTAAGGACATTGACTGGGGAAATAGGACTCCCTAAATTTGATTCTTAACTCTGCTACTTTCTAGTTTTTATAACCTTGGGCCAGTTATTTAACCCCACTATGCCTTATTTCCCTCATCTGTAAAATGAGAATAACAAAAGTACGTACCTCATAAGGTTGTTAGGATTAAATGAGCCAGGCACTTAGGGAAATGCCTGACATACAATCAGTGTTTAATAACTGTTAACACTTATTATTGTGATGGTTGTTATTGTCCTAGGGCAGCTGACCAGTTGTAGAATAATCCACTTATACTTCATTAGGTAGAGAGAATGGTCTGCTGACCTTGGAAACTATGCCTCTGATTTTAAGTTATTTTCTTCTGGTATCTAGGACAAATCAAAGTGTGATCTGGAGAGTGGAGGAGAGGAGGACAGGCTTAATCTGGTCTTYCTATACAAATTAGCTTGATCATATTCTACGTTTATTGATTTAAATTACTTTTTTTCTTGTTTGTTTTGCAGTGCTGGGGATTGAGCCCAGGGCAAGTGCTGTACCACTAAGCTACATCCCCAGCCCCAATTTAAATGGGTCTATCTAAGTGGCAAAAGATAGGAAGTTAAGGAACTCTTATTGTGTGTGCAGATTACAGGTACCATACTGAAGTATAGCACCACTTAGAGGTGTGATTGTTGCTGAACTTAACTACTTCTTTTTCTTTCTTCTTCTTCTTCTTTTTTATAGTGAATGTGGTGGAGGCGCTTCAGGAATTCTGGCAGATGAAACAGTCCCGTGGGGCTGACTTGAAAAATGGAGCTCTAGTGGTTTATGAGATGGTTCCCTCCAACAGCCCTCCCTATGTCTGCTATGTCACCCTACCTGGGGGAAGTTGCTTTGGGAGTTTCCAGGTAAGAGTTGTGAGGCAGCAGTGGTAAAGCTGAATCTTAGGTGCTAATAAGAACTTTATCACTTTGGCCATTACATTTCTGCATGAAATCACATATTTGAGGACTTAAGCCAATCTGGAAAAATCATTCTCACAAGCATCTGAAGCTCATTGGATCACAAAATCACATCAGTAGCATGTTTTTCTTTCAGCCTGCAAAAATCAAACCTATTTATTTATTTATTTTTTAGTTATAGATGGATATAATACCTTTATTTTACTTATTTATATGTGGTGCTGAGGATCAAACCCAGTGCCTCACACATGCTCGGCAAGTGCTCTACCAACCCCAGCCCCTCAAACCAATTTTGATTTTGCACAAACACTGAATATATCAGACTATTAGCATCCGACCCTTATTCTGATCTGGGTCCATTATTGCATTCCAACTTCTTGCTGTGTCTTCTTGAGGATATAGATCAATATTCCCTTTCCTCCCACCCCCCAGTGTTTTTCACAGGTATTTACAAAAGAAAGCAATGTTTGGATTCTCTAAGAGATCAAAGGGGAGAGGCTGATTATGGTGAGGTAAGGAGCTCCTCATCTTCTAAGAGTTAGGTGATTAAATTTTCATTCTCTTGATTGCCCTCTGGCCTCAGTTTTCCCATCTATAACATGAAAGAGACATGATATGTTGTTTCTTTCTGGGTATTTTTGTTGTCATCATTGTTTGTTTGTGATGCCAGGGATCAAACCCAGGACATTATGCATGCTAAGTCTACTTTCTTACTTACTACTGGATTCCCATTACCAGATTCAGAACCCAGCACATAGTAGATACCTGATAAATCTGTTGCATGAATGAGAGCCACTGCAGCTCAGTTCCTGCCTCAAACAGAAACATTTCAAATCAGGTGACTAAAATTTTTTCCCTCAGAACCTCAGCTACTTCAGAGAAATAAATATATGTCCCAGATAACTAATATTTATACTTTTTTTATGGTACTAGGGATTGAACCCAGAGGCTCTACCAGGAGCTACATATTCAACCCTTTTTTTTTTTTTTTTTAAACAGAGCCTCTCACTAAGCTGCTCCAGGCTGTCCTTGAACTTGTGCCTCTCTACCTTACCCTCCTGAGTAGCTGGGGATCACAGGCATGTGCAACTGCACCTGGCTTATGCTTTCTCTTATTAGAGAAAATATCTTTCCTCCTCTTTCCCACCTTATCACAATGCTAAATAATAATTTAATAATTTTATGATGATGCCCATAATTGAACAATTATAGTGATTTGATTTCTGTTATTTTCTTTTTCTTTTTTTTTTTTTTTTAAGAGAGAGTGAGAGGGGAGGGAGGGAGGGAGAGAGAGAGAGAGAGAGAGAGAATTTTTTTTTTTAATATTTATTTTTTAGTTCTCAGCGGACACAACATCTTTGTTTGTATGTGGTGCTGAGGATGGAACCCGGGCCACACGCATGCCAGGCGAGCGCACTACCGCTTGRGCCACATCCCCAGCCCTGATTTCTGTTATTTTCTAAAAGAGTAGAATTATCTATCTTGGATTTTTTTAGCTTACATATTTTATATCTACTTTGGTAGGTGAAATTTTTCCTGGTAGTTTTCTTCACAGATAACTTTTTCAGAAAAAGCACTAATGAGTGGAGTGGGCAGCAGATTAGAAATAGAAAAGTAGGAACAGAAAAACTAAAGAAGCCAAAAGACTTAGGGTTAATGTGTGAAGCTCCATATATTGTTCCAGAGAGGACTGTCAGCTAAAGGAAGTTAGACATTTAATGATAATAAGGATGGCAAAGTGCTGAACATATCCTGGTCTAATTTCTAAAACTGCAACATTAACTGTCCTTCTTTTAATCTTAAAACATAAATGACAAGGGCACAGGGGTCTTTGAATCGGCCAGCAAAGGTGGATTATAAAGGAATACTCTGGTAGCCAGAAATGTGAAGTTGAAAGAGTTAAGACTTGAAAACCAAAGTTTCCCTGTGATAACCTGTTAGAAATAATGTAAAAACATGAGTTAATTTTTAAGTTTTTCTTGCTTTCCTTTCCTAGCCACCTCTATTCTCCTTGCTTCCAATGCCGGGAAGAAGACTAAATTTACTCAGACCTCTTCTGGGATAAGTCCTTTGGCTCATGACATTATCAGGGGAAATGCCTGTTCACAGCTGAAAGTGAAATCCATGAATCCCAGATAGGTGCCTGATAGAGACAAGAGGCCTTCTCTGCAGAAGCAGCCTACAGAGAGCTTTGTTCTAATCTTGGATTATCTAGAGGAATCCAAAAATCTTGCTTGTCTAGAGAACAAGAGAACAAGATACAGATTTCTAATAAGCTGGCCAGAATCTGACTTTGGAGTAATTGTTGACAGTTTAAACAGAGGTATTGGGCTGGGGATGTGGCTCAAGCGGTAGCGCGCTCGTCTGGCATGCGTGCAGCCGGGTTCGATCCTCAGCACCACATATAAACAAAGATGTTGTGTCTGCCAAGAACTAAAAAATAAATATTAAAAAATTCAAAAAAATAAAAAAAAATAAACAGAGGTATTTTTCAAGTCTAGTGGTCATGTGCTGACTTCAGCGGCCTTACTAGTTCTGATTCAGTTTTCTAGGAGCTGTAGTCGTCTCCAGTTCTTTAATGACTTCAGGATGTTGAATCAAAAGTCTGTTTCCAAACATCCCAATCATTTTACAATAAAAACTTTGTAAAGCGTGTTGAACACAAGTGATTTATCTAAAGAGTGTCCACTTTGTTCTCTATCTTAAGTGTCTCCCTCCCACTGTTTCTTCCTCTCTCTCAGATACACATGTACACATATTCTCACTTTCTCTTCTCTGCCTAGTTTTGCCCCACAAAAGCGGAGGCCAGGAGGAGTGCTGCAAAGATTGCATTAATGAACTCTGTGTTTAATGAACATCCTTCCCGAAGAATCACTGATGAGTTCATTGAGAAGAGTGTCTCTGAGGCCCTGGCATCTTTCAATGTAAGTACTTGGAACTGGAAGGAAGGAGAGTAGGGGATGGGAAAACTGACTGGTTCCTTGTTTCCTTTTCTGTCTACATCTCTGTTCTGCTGATTATCTGTTAATTTTTTGTATGTCCTACACTCCTTATATCTCTGTCCCTAATTTCATACCTATGTTTATATGCTTTTTTGTTGTGTAGTCTCTTTCATTGTATCTTTTTGGTGTCTAGAAACATTTAAGTGAAGATTTATGGTATTCTAGAGCTCCTTAATAAATGAAAATTGAGCTTGAATTTTGTTTTTCATAATTTTGATTTAAAACCCTAGTCACTTATAATTTTTCACTAAAAAAAGAGGATTTTTTTTTGTGGTGCTAGGGATTGAACCGAGTGTCTGCTAGACAAGCACTGTATCACTGAGGTATACCCTTTCCCTACATTGTTTTGTGGTGCTGGGGATGGAACCATGGCTTTACACATGCTAAGCAAGTGTTCTATCACTGAGCTCCACCCCAAGACCTTTTTTTTTTTTAAAGTTATACAGAAAAGAACATTTATTTTGACTTATGATTTTGGTCCAAGGATGAGGGGATTCATCTGGAGGTGGCTTTCTTGCTGGTGAGGTGGTACCAGGTATTACATGGCAAGAGGAAGTGTGTGAGAGCTGTTCTATCCCATATGACTGCATTTATTGTACTTGTTTCCCTCCTCCATTACTTCAACTTCTCAATAAAGAACCCCTTTATAGGGCTGGGGCTGGGGCTCAGTGGTAGAGCGCTTGCCTAGCACGTGTGGGGCCCTGGGTTCAAACCTCAGCACCACATAAAATATAAATAAATAGAGTTAAAAATAAATAAACAAAAAAATACTGATAAAAGAAAAAGAACCCCTTTTTGGGGGGGCTGGGGTTGTGGTTCAGTAATAGAGCAGTTGCCTAGCTTGTGTGAGGTACTGGGTTCAATAAAGATTTTTTTTTTGATGGACCTTTATTTTATTTATTTATATGTGGTGCTGAGAATTGAACCCAGTGCCTCACACAAACCAGGCAAGTGCACTACTGATAAACCACAACCCCAGCCCTAATAAAAATATATTTTTTAAAAGAACCCCTTTTTTATACAATGTTTTATCATTTTCCCTTTTAGGAACAGGAGAATTATCTACTTCCTTTTCTCTTCTTCTTCTTCTTTTTTTTAGTTATAGTTGGACACAAACCTTTATTTTATTTCTTTATGTTTATGTGGTGCTAAGGATCAAACCTTGGGCCTCGCACACACTAGGCGAGTGCTCTACCACTGAGTCACAGCCCCAACCCCAAATTATCTACTTTCTTTAAAAGGAACATCTAGGGGCTAGGGATGTGGCTCACTGGTAGAGCTTTGCGTAGCATGTGTGAGGCATTGGGTTGATTCTCAGTGCTGCATATAAATAAATAAATAAATAAAATAAAGGTCCATTGACAACTAAAAAATATTTTTTTTAGGATCAAATTATATATTTTTTTATTGGTTGTTCAAAACATTACAAAGCTCTTGACATATCAGATTTCATACATTAGATTAAAGTGGGTTATGAACTCCCATTTTTACCCCAATTACAGATTGCAGAATCACATCAGTTACACATCCACATTTAAAAAATATTTTTAAAAAGAACATTTGTTCTTTCAAATTATCATGGTGATGTGATAATAATCATAAATAACAGGGATCAGTATAAGGGATTTTTATGTACTTTATCTCATTTGATCATTATGATAACCCTGGAAGTATAAGTATTATTATTACCCCTGTTTAACAGATGAAAAGACTAAACCACAGAAGTGAAGTTTTGCTTAAAGTGATATAGTGAGTAAGTGATACACCATGATTAGGATACAGATAGATCTAGCTGAGGGATGCCTCCTAGGAAAGAACACTGCTTTCTTCCTTCCTCCCTACAGACCACCGACAGGGTGAAAAAGTCAGACTGATTCTCTGTTTCTGTTCTGTTTACATTTAGTTAATGTGTAATTACATAACGCCAAACTGCTTTATTTATGAATTTTATAGATTAGTTGTTGAACACTGTAAATCACAATTTGTCTTTCCTCTGTTACTTAGAACCCATCTGTTTTCCTCCCATTATTCTTTGTCCTAATCAACAGCATCCTTAGAGAATAACAATTTTATTTTATTTTCTTACAGTTTTGATAGTGGGAATTGAACCCAGGGGTGCTCTTCCCCTGAGCTACATCCCCAATACCTTTTTATTTTTATTTTGCAACAGGGTCTCTCTAAACTGCTTAGGATTTTGCTAAATTGCTGTGGATGGCCTTGAACTTGGGATCGTCCTGCCTCAGAATCCTGAGTGACTTGACCACTACCTGATTAATAAAATCATTTTAAATCAGTCAGTTCAAAATCAGGAAAGTGCATTTGCTACTCTTCATCTAATGGTATTATAAAATAAAATATTTGTTTGGATTATAGAAAGCAGGATGTGCACTAGCATATAGGCTCTGAATTTACTGTATTGAAATTATGGTTCTACCAGCTATATAACTTTGAGCAAGTTATCTCATTAAGTCTGTTTCCTCATCTACCAAATAGGTTAAAAATTACACATGACACATAAGGTTAATGGATAAAAGAGATATTTAAGCACTTAGCACGTTATCAGTTTAAATGCAAGTAACAGAAAATCCCACATCAAATTAAGGAAATTAGCAAAGAAAGGAAATTCATTATCTAAAATGACAGGAAGTCTACAAGTAGGGCAGATTTCATGATTGGTTGATTCCGTGGATCAAGAATATCATCATGGCTGGGTGCGGGGGACACATGCCTGTAATCCCAGCAGTTTGGGAAACTGAGACAGGAGGATTGCGAGTTCAATGCCAGCCTCAGCAATGGTGAGGCGCTAAGCAACTCAGTGAGACCCTGTCTCTAAATAAAATTTTAAAAACAGGGCTGGGGATGTGGCTCAGTGGCCAGGTGCCCCCTGATTTCAATTCTTGGTGCAAAAAAAAAAAAAAAAAAGAAAGAAAACAAAGAACGTCATCACATCTACAGCTGGTCATGATATGCGTGCCTGTAGTCCCAGCTACTAGGGATGCTGAGGCAGGAGGACAACTTGAGCCCAGGAGTTGGAGGCTATCCTGGGCAACATAGTAAGACGCCATTTTGGGAGGTGAGGAGTTAAGGAGTCAGGGGAGCCAAGTGTGTTGGTGCATCCCTGTAATCCCATCTAGTCTGATATATTCCAGATTGATTACAGGTGTGCCATGATTTTTGAACCCCTCAGCTCTCAGGAGACTGGGCAATGCCTGGGATGGATGGACTCCTTTGTTTGAAGTCACTGTGCTTGCCAGCAACCTCTTCTGTATACTCAGTTAGCTATACAGATAAGGATTATTTCATATGTGCCGTGTCATGGAAAAGTTTGGTAAGCACTGAATAAGGTGTCACAGTGAACAATTACTGGCACAAATAAAATAGTTACTTGCTTCAGAGTTCTAAAGCCTAATTTTTTAAAAGTTTTCAATCTTTTAAGAATATTTTTTAGGGGCTGGGGATGTGGCTCAAGCGGTAGCGCGCTCGCCTGGCATGCGTGCGGCCCGGGTTCGATCCTCAGCACCACATACCAACAAAGATGTTGTGTCAGCCGAGAACTAAAAAATAAATATTAAAAATTCTCTCTCTCTCTCTCTCTCTCTCTCTCCTCTCTCACTCTCTCTTTAAAAAAAAAAAAGAATATTTTTTAGTTGTCAATGGTCTTTATTTTATTTATTTATAAGTGGTGCTGAGAATTGAACCCGGTGCCTCACACATGCTAGGCAAGCTCTCTACCACTGAGCCACAATCCCAGTCCCCTAAAACCTAACTTTAAAGATTACATTTTCCCTTCCAGTTAAAGCCTCCAATTTAATGTGTTGGGAATAATTTTTAAAAATAAAAGGACCGGGATGTAATTCAATGGTAAAGTACCTCTGGGTAAGAATTGAGATGTATTTTAAGTATAAAATATGTTTCAAAAACTTGGTTCAAAAAATGTAAAACACATAAAAGGCTGGGGTTCTGGCTCAGAGTAGAGCACTTGCCTAGCACGCATGAGGCCCTGGGTTCGAGCCTCAGCACCACATAAAAATAAATAAATAAAATAAAGGTATCCTGTCCATCTACAACTAAAAAATTTTTTTACTATAATGTGGCAACTGTGAAATCTAAAATTAAATATGTGGCTCATGTTTTTTTGTTGGATAGTGCTGCTCAAGATGATAATTCCAATTGGAAATCTATTTGTCTTTTCTTTTCCTCTGTTACCAGGGCAACAGGGAGGAAGCTGACAACCCAAATACAGGCATTGGTGCCTTCCGATTTATGTTAGAATCCAACAAGGGCAAGTCAATGTTGGAGTTCCAGGTACTATTCCACTACTTCCCTGGCTCTAATAACATGGTCAGACTGCTAATGTACACATAATGCTTCCTACTAATCTCTACTATAATTAGACTTTTTAAAAAGGAAGGAAAAGGAAGTAGAATATTTTTCAAAATATAAATACTTCCTTCCCCCAGGGATATATCAGAGTTGGTGATTAGAGATGCTTCCACAAGGGCTGGGGATGTGGCTCAAGCGGTAGCGCGCTCGCCTGGCATGCGTGCGACCCGGCGTGCGACCCGTGTTCGATCCTCAGCACCACATACCAACAAAGATGTTGTGCCCGCCGAGAACTAAAAAATAAATATTAAAAATTCTCTCTCTCTCCTCTCTCACTCTCTCTTTAAAAAAAAAAAAGAGATGCTTCCACAAATATATTTTGTAAAAAAATTTCCCATGTGATTCTACCAATATCAGAGTCACTGTCCTGGGCTGAGATTGTGACTTGGCAGTAGTGCACTTGCCTGGCATGTGTGAGGTACTGGGTTAGATTCTCAGCACCAGGTATAAATAAATAAAATAAAGATCTATCAACAACTAAGAAAGAAAATTTTTAAAGGAAAAATTTCTTTTTAAAAAAATCACTGTCCTGGTACTACATATCTTCTTCCCCCAGGAGCTAATGACAGTGTTTCAACTGTTGCACTGGAATGGCAGCCTTAAGGCCATGAGGGAAAGACAGTGCTCTCGGCAGGTAAGAGATCTCAAGAGTGAGAGGGACAGGGTGGCTGCTGTGGTAAGGGAAGCAAGCCTGTGGGTACTGGTGGCGAAGGCTGAAAGCCTTCAGTGCCCTCTTCACTGCACTCCACCAGGAAGTCTTCCTTAGGAATCTCCCTGGAGGGCCTCAGGTGCTGCTTCAGCGAGGACTCCAGAGCTAAGAGACTAGTCCCAGGTGGGCCTGTGTGGCATGATATGAACCTTTATCTTCTCAGTGATCTTCAATTCCTCTCTGCATCCAGGAGGTGTTGGCTCATTATTCCCACCGAGCCCTAGATGACGATATTCGCCACCAAATGGCCTTGGACTGGGTGAGCCGGGAGCAGAGTGTGCCCGGGGCACTTTCTAGAGAGCTGGCCTCCACTGAACGGGAATTGGATGAAGCCCGGCTGGCAGGCAAGGAGCTGCGCTTCCACAAGGAGAAGAAAGATATTCTCATGCTGGCTGCTGGGCAGTTGGGCAATATGCATTCTTCCAACTGCTAGGCATCTACCTTCATACTCCCTCTCCTTTCTCCTTTCCTGGACCTTTTTTGTATGTCTCCTCTCTAAGACTTAGGATGATTTCTGTACATACTTACTCAATTTTATACTTTAAAATATATATATATATGTATAAACCACACCTGGATTCCCATTTGCTAGGAGATCTCTTTTCTAACTTCCAGGTTTGGGGACCTCTCCATTCACTTTATGAGAAAGAGCAGGCTGTCTTTGGAGCTTGTACACTTCCAGATTAATTCTGTATAGTCATTTCACTAACACAGTATGATCAAGTGTTCATGTCTCCCTTTAAAATAACGGGTACACCTATGTACCCCACCCTCACCCTCATTCTTGCATTTTTTTTTTGGTCTCAAACAGGGTATGAGTAAGAAATCTTTGGCTTTGGTTTATCTTGAGCTGGATCTGCTTGGTATCTCCCCCGTCCCCACCACTACCTTACTCCTTTCTTTGTCTCTACTAACTCTTTGTTTTGAGGGTTCCCTACCCTATTATTCAGAAAGGAGTGAAAATCTGGTTTATTATTTTTAAATTATTCCTGAGAAATTGCCCATCAATACAAGAGGAATTATAAACACAATTCATGGGGTTACTTCCTAATTTGCTTGGAAGCATTCTCTATATGATTTTGGAAGTCCAGATTTCTAGAAATACTCTATAGTAAGATGGGGGTAAGGGGTTAGGCTGGTTATCATTCAGTATTCCCTTTTCACTTCTCCCCTGCTCGCCTAGCTTAGTTAAACCTTAAACCTTCTACCTGCAGAGACTGGTAGAAAGTAAACTTCTATCCCGACCACCATCCACATTATTTTGCTCTTTAAAAGTAATATCTGTTCCATTTGGTAAGTGAGGGCCAGATTTCTCTCCCTACCACCAAACTGGTACTGTTTACTGCCTTAGATGTACGTAGTTTAGATTCTTATTTCTTTCTTTTCCTTTTCCTCCACATTGATTATTAGAACACGAGTTGATTAGGAAAATAAGATAAGCCTTTGGCATTTTGGTACTTCCTAATTGAAAACTTAAGAGTCTGCAAGAGGGGAAAGAGAATCAATGATCAGCTATTTGTGTTTTAATATGGTTCTTCTCTCCAGCTCTTTCTTGGGTAAAGTAAGAAGTGATCTAGAATACAGAAAGAGCATTCTCCTTTTGGAAAACTATATGTGCTGAGATAGATTTCCCTCTTTGCTTCTGTGATCTCCTTTATATATTATTGTTCAGTGCACTTTCCAAACTGAGTTTGGGAAGTTTAATGCTTCTGCATTTGGACTTTTTATTTATACAGAATTTTCTTTTAAAAGTAGATTAGGAAACAGACCACTTTGCTCTTTGGATTAGATAACAAGATGAAAGGCAGATTTCTTGCTTTTGGAATCATCTTGGTGACCAGTACATATGGAATCAGAGATAAAGAATCCAGCTACAATTTTATTAGTGCTTGAAAGTGGCTTCCTTGATTCTCTAAGCCCCATCTTTATATTCCATGAAACACATGTAATATTGGAGTAGAGCTCCTACATTAAATAATAGGTATATCTGGTTTTATTTATATTTATAACCACCCCCCCCAATCATAAACCCACCAGTTTCTCCTGTGCTCCTTTCTCTGGGAAGAAGTGTTAAGGGTGTGAGTTTTGGGAAGAATTGTCCTTGTACTTCCTAGATTTATTCTTTTTATCAAATACCCCCAAATCCCAAACAATTTGAGAAAAATTGTTCCCTTATCTGTCCAATTTTGTTGTCAAAGATTTTAGTTATCTTCTAATGCTTTCTATGTATTTTATATGTATAATTTTATACAATTAAAATAGATTTTTGTCTAGTGARCCAGAATGACTCTTTCTTGAGACCTATGTATCAGAGAAGCCTAAAATGGCTCCATTCATTTACACATTACAGAAGAATTCTGAGTATTTTGGGAGTGGTAAAAATAAAATTGCACTGCAGGGGAAAGGCATTCTGCCTCCCCTTCTCCAGACATTTAAGGAGTCTGATTTTTTTTTTTCTCCTTGGTACTGGGGATAGTACCCAGGGGTGCTTAACTAATAAGCCACATCCCTAACCCTTTTAATTTTTGAGACAAGGTCTAAGTTGCTTTGGTGCCTCACTAAATTGCTGAAGCTGGCTTTGAACTTTTGATCCTCCGGCCTCAGCTCTTTAGCCACTGGGATTACAGGCATGTGCCTGGAATGGAGCCTGAATTTTGTCTTTGGCCCTTTCTCTTCAGCTCTACTCATTCCCACTCTCTCACAACTACAGTGATTTAAACTCCTCTATACACACAATTCTACAATCTATTTCTTCCATCCCAACTTGTTCTGAGCTTTTACATCTATACTTCCACATACCGGACTTCGCTACCTGGAGGTGACAGGAGTACCATGACATCACRTATCAAAAGTAGAGCCCATTTTTCCAAACTTGCTCCTCTTTGATGTTCTAAGTCTGTTATTTGAATTATTATCTACCTAATTTTCTAAGCTAGAAACTTTAGGTCCATCATTCAATCAGATACTACTCTTTTTTCCGGTACCAGGGTTTGAACCCAGGGGTGCTTAGCCACTGAGCCACATCCCCAGCCCCCTTTTTTTTTTTTAATATTTTATCTAGAGACAGGGTCTCACTGAATTGCTTAGGGCTTCACTAAATTGCTGAGGCTGGCTTTGAACTCATAATCCTTCTGCCTCAGCCTCCCAAATGGCTGGGATTACAGGCGCATGCCACCACACCTGGCCAGACACTACTCTGGAGCCTACCTCCTATATAAATTGTTTTGTCCGTATTTACCGTCATAGTTCATGTCTTTCTCATATCTGGACTGGATACTGCAATAGCTTCCTAATTGGTTTTTATGTTCCTTAATATCCTTCACTTTACTCTGATATTCCTTAGTGAAATACTACTGCCATTCATATCCTTAAACCATTGTTTAGCTGTTTTTACTTTGAGGAATACTTCCAAAAGTTTTAGATGGGAACCATTAATGTTACCTGAGATGATTTTAGGTGATATTTTTTATTAGTCTTCAATAATTATGCTTTTATCTGAATTTATAGTAGAAAAATATTGGTTTTCACTTATGGAAGTAATATTAAAATTTCCTGTTGGTGTAAATTTGTGCTTACCAAAGCCTATTTAAGGAAGAATAGTAAGCAAAAATAATATGGGGACTACCTGCAAATATTAAAAATCATGAGTACTCAAAAAATATTTGAAGTAGAGAAATTTGTTTATAGGAAAAATTTCAAAATACTTAGTATGGCAATTTGACCCTAAACTATGCCTCCAGACTTATTTCCCAGTCACATAGCATCAGGCATACAGAATTTCTTTTGCGGGGGGAGGCAAAGAGGTTTATTACACTGATGTCTAATGCAATCCACTGTGAAATTATAGTACACATAAATATTTATGTCCTGTGTAACACAGCATGAAAATGCTAGAATGCAAATAGTTGAAAGTCAAAGAAAAATGCCAGAGCTCTAGTCAAAATGCAAGATGTTAACACATCTGCCCTAACTCTATTTTATTCAGGAAAGGGCTAGGGGAGAAAGCAAAATATAAACTAGGAGACTGCCTGATAAATAAAATCATAAAAATCAATGACAGAGAGACTTTGAATAAATACACAAGATAAATTAATATTTAATTACTTAGTGTTCATGTTCACTAAAAAACCAGTTTTTTACTATATACTGAACATTGAACTCGATTGGGGGGTGCTTGATATACCTTTTTTATGATAAATAATGAATTTCTTTTCAAAATCGATCTTATTCTAGGCGACAAGGAGACCTCTAATGATTTCAGAAAGCAGTAATCAGTACAAGCGACATTTCTTAGACATAATGCGCACTGCAATAAACCTATAAACTAATAACACAAATTAAAAGAACAATAACACAACTCAATGCTTGAAAATTGTTATGGTTTGTATCTTAAATGTCTCTAAAGGCTCAGGGGTTGAAAAGTTGGTCTCTGGCCTGTGATGCTATCCTAAGTGGTGGAACACTTAGGAAATGGGATCCCGAGAAAGGAACTGAGGCTATTGTGAGGTAGGAATGAAAAGAAATAAAAGAGAAATAGAAAGAGGACAAAAGGGAAGGAAAAATAGACTGTAACTTTAATCTGGAAGCATTTTGCTAAAGTTTCTCAGACATTTTTTTTCTCCCCAGGCTGGTTTTTTCCCTTAGGCTTGTCACTCCCAGTTTTGAGAGATCTATAAATCTTTTTTTTTTTTTTTTTGAGAGAGAGAGAGAGAGAGAATGAATTTAATATTTATTTTTTAGTTTTCAGCGGACACAACATCTTTATTTGTATGTGGTGCTGAGGATCCAACCCAGCGCCGCACGCACGCCAAGCAAGCATGCTACCACTTGAGCCACATCCCCAGCCCCCCAGAAGTGTTCTTGATACTGCCATTATGATAGCAGTTATCACTTTCATAGTGTACTGTATATAGTGAGTGCTATCAATGCAATTATTTATCCTCTTGCCAGCAATTCTTCTAATATTAGACACACATATAGGCATAACTATTTGATTAATAAGTGAATCTGCAGCCTGCTATTGTTGAAGGTGTACATAAGGATTCCAGAACTTGGGGGCAATATAGGTTTTACTTCAACTCCTAGGTTTTTGAAGGTAGAACACCTGTTCCATCATCAAAGAACTAAAGCCATTATTTTATTTAAGGCCATGCCTTTCCTTCCTTAATTTCCAGAGGGTGGCAGGGAGCATTTGAAAGATATAGCTTTAAAAAAAATTTTTAAAGGCATGGTTAGCCACTACTGTAATCCCAGAGACTCCGGAGGCTGGCAGGAGGATTAAGTATGCGGATGGCCTCAGCAATTTAGCAAGATCTGTCTCCAAATAAAAAGTAAAAAGGGGTCTGAGGAGGTATTTCAGTGGTTTCATCCCCTACAGCCGGGTTTCAACCGCAGCCTTGTGTGTTGGTTTTCTTGGGAAGAAATGCGGGGCTGGCGGTCCGTTCTGGGAGGTGTTTTGTTTCTGGGGTTTTTTTTTTTTGGTCCAGGGACGAACCCAGGGCCGTTTAGCCACTGAGCCCCATCCCCAGCCCTTTTTATGACTTACTTAGAGACAGGGTTTCACCGAGTTGTTCAGGGCCCCGCTAAGTTGCTGAAGCTGGCTCTGAACTTGTGATCCTCCAGCCTCAGCCTCCGGCCTGGAGCAGCTAAACTTTTTCTGCGGCGTGGGATGTGATTCCCGGGTCTCGCACCTGCTAGGCCAGCGCGCTACCGCCGAGCTACCTCCCCAGCCCTGATCTGAACCTCCTCTCTTTTCTTTTTAGGGCTTCTATCATGGATGGGGTGCTTCTCAGAACAGGGTACAGGCCTAGAATTTTTTTTTTTTTTTTTAAAGAGAGAGTGAGAGAGGAGAGAGAGAGAGAGAATTTTTTTTTTAATATTTATTTTTTAGTTCTCGGCGGACACAACATCTTTGTTGGTATGTGGTGCTGAGGATCGAACCCGGGTCGCACGCATGCCAGGCGAGCGCGCTACCGCTTGAGCCACATCCCCAGCCCCAGGCCTAGAATTTTTAAGATAAAAAATTTTTAAATTCTTCCATTCCCTACTTTGGAATGAAAGCTGCCCTTCAGCAAGGAATTAGGCCCGGTCTCAAGATTAAACGGAAGCCATTGACTCCTCCTAGTTTGTCCCGGCCCATGCAGCTGGTCTCAGCTCGTGACCTACCAAGATGGCTACCAAATSCTTCCGGCATCTTTTTGAACTAGGCCCGCCCTTAGTGCGTACTTTTACCGCGCCGAGGGCGGGACTTAAAGGTGGGCTGTGATTGGTCATCTTGGCGACCTTTCCCCTCTGCGACAGCCTGCCGAGGTGCCTAGTTGCCCGGCGGTCCGGACGAGCGCTAGTACAGAGGCAAGATGGCTGACGTGCTGGATCTTCATGAGGCCGGAGGCGAGGATTTCGCCATGGATGAGGATGGGGACGGTGAGGACAGTGGAGGCGGCTACGGGAAGCGGGGAAGGTGCGAGAGAAGAGTGTAACAGGAAAAAGGTCCTGGGGCGGACGGATGGGAGCGGGGAGTGCGGTCTCGGTGCGAGACTCCTCCCCCTTCGGAAGGAACGGGGCGGGCCCGGAGGGGACAGCCTGGCGGCGGCTCACGCTCTCGGCGTGTTGGGATACACTTGTCATAAATGACTCTCTTGTTACCCATCCTTTCTCCTCTGGGGCTTCAGAGAGTATCCACAAACTTAAAGAAAAAGCGAAGAAAAGGAAGGGCCGCGGCTTTGGTTCAGGTGAGCGTGGGGACTTGAGGTCGAGAGGCTTGTCGGCGGGAGCGGAGTTGGGGCCCCCGGGCCCCCGGGGAGAGTCTCCGTGATCTGTTGTGTTCTCTATAGAAGAGGGGTCCCGAGCGCGGATGCGAGAGGATTATGACAGTGTGGAGCAGGACGGCGATGAGCCTGGACCACAACGCTGTGAGTAAGGTGGAGCCTGCGGAGAGCGTGTCTGTGGGCAGTTAAAACCCGAGCTCACTCCGGAGTCTGCACTTACGGCATTCCCCTGTCCCAGGCGCGCGCACAGCCACCCTTTCTTCCCCAACAGCTGTTGAAGGCTGGATTCTCTTTGTCACTGGAGTCCATGAGGAAGCGACTGAAGAAGACATTCATGACAAATTTGCAGAATATGGCGAAATAAAAAACATCCACCTTAACCTGGATAGGCGCACAGGATACCTGAAGGTATCCTAAGCGACTCGTTATTGCCTTCCTTTCCCCTTGGCCTTGGTGGTTCTGTTTGCTGCGGTTCAAATAAAATGACATAGGAAATTGATTCTGTTGGACAAAGAAAAGAGACGGAGACAAACAAAACAGACACCTGTGTACAGTAGGGACATACGATGTACATTCATTGTGTAAAGCTTTTAGGTTTTTCTTTTTTAAGTATGAATTTATATTTGAGGATGAGGATACTTGATGCTTGGTAAAACAGGAAGGTTTTAACATCTTACTTTTCACTTACCCAGGGTTATACTCTAGTTGAATATGAAACATACAAAGAGGCCCAGGCTGCTATGGAAGGACTCAATGGCCAGGATTTGATGGGACAGCAGATCAGCGTAGATTGGTGTTTTGTTCGAGGTCCACCCAAAGGCAAGAGAAGGTAAAATGGAGAGGGCAAACACTGTTGGTGAAGGGAACATGAATAAAACTGAACAAGGACATTTTATTATATCCTATGATGAATTCCCTGCCTTCCTCTTTTTCCCTAGAGGTGGACGAAGGCGCAGCAGGAGTCCAGACCGGAGACGTCGTTGACAGTTCCTCTCTTGTCCAGGTGGTCTCTCCAAGATTCCATTTGGCTATGCAAGCCGTCAACAAATAGGGCTGAAGTGGAACTCACTCTGTTTATATTTAAACTGTTATCCTGTTTACTGTTTCTTTTGAGTCATGAATAAATGTCCCTTTTTAGTTTTTGGTTTTCTACACTTAAAATTACTTTCATGTTGTAGTAGTGAAGCTCTGATGCACTATTTACAGTAAGGCAATATGGGTCATTGTGGAGATACTTCTATTAAGGATTGAATTCTGTGAGTTTCTGCTTTAGACATAGTCTCAAGTCTCAGGTCAAAACACAGTTCTTCTCAGCACTTCTTTTGTTCGAAGCTAAAAAAGCAGGGGCAGCAGAGAGAGGTTCTTAGGGTATTGGAGAGTAATGACTATTCTTTATACTCCGTTGTGAGAAAACTTGGATGTTATAGGAATGTCTCTTTTGTTTCTCCTCTTCTTGATGTCACAGTTGTTTGCATTTTCAGCTGTCTGAGGGTTTTACTCTCCTGTTGGGGCATTCTCCCAGACCCTCCTTCCTGGGAGGAGTCTTTACTGAGTGTTTGGTGCCCTCTCCGGCAGCCGAGGGTGAAGGCTCCATAGAGGAGAGGATCCAAAGGAGCATTGAGAAGGCCAAAGAGGAAAAGGATATGGCTGAGGCTGGGAGGGACTTCAGTTAGCATGGTGGGGGAGAACCAGTACCACAGACCCAGTAGGTAATAAGGTGTCCAGCAGAGGACGAAGGTCAGCAAAACAAGGAGGGCCAGTCGCAGGGCCCGAAGGCGAACACGGGGGCGAGTGTCTAAGGAGCGGCGTAGGGTAAATTCATCAGCAGGGGCTGGGAATTTAGAAAATATACTGAAATTCAGAACTACTCAGCTTCTGAACTGTGTGTAGGGTGAATTGATGGAAGGGCAGATAGTGAAATGGAACCCTCACCACCAAGGAAGAGAATGATGTAAATCCTCTTACCCTCCCCAACCTGGCACTATGACATGACAGACATGCTTGAGAAAAGGTGTTTTTGTTTGTGATACTGGGAATTGAATCTAGAGCTTCCCGYATACTAGGAAAGTGCTTTAACACAGAAATATATACCCAGACCTTCTTGTAAATTATATTTTAAGACAGGGTCTCACTAAATTGGCCAAGCTGGCCTCAAACTTGTCTTAGTAGCTGGGATTACAGGCATTTGCCACCATGATGGTGAGAGGTTTTGGTTTGAGATGCTGTTAGGTGAAGCCACCAGGTCTACAGGTCGACTTGAGGATGTTAAATAATAAAGAACACTGATGACCTTTTTCTCTATTTCTGCCTAGTTTACTCAACGGAATTAGAGGCAGTTTAGAATTGAAGGCATTCAATAAAGTTTATCTCCAGTGTCAGGTGCTAGAGATACGGTTAGCATCTTACTTTGGTTTAGTGGCTGATATATAGCTGTTGGGTAGATAAATAAATGAAGCTAGAGGCAACAGTTCTGGGAATAGGACTAAGGCCTGGGAATTGAAGTCTCACCCTGGCTCCCCTTTCTGGTTCGCGGACTGGACACACTGAGGACAATGCGGCTATAGCAGATGGCCATGGCAGTTAGTGGCAGCAGAAAGAGGCAGCAGAAGGTGAAGAGGTTATAGGTGGTCTCTTGCCATTGAGCCTTGAAGCTGCCTTTGGTGACACACTGAGTGAAGGGGACTGGGCCAGCTCGGCGGACAGTATGGAACAGGAACAGCTGGAATGAAGTTGAGACTATTAGAACTGGTTCCCACACCATCCAACCTACTCCCCTGTGTCACAATAGCTCCTCCCAATTGATCGTTATTAATTCCAGGTGGAATAGTACAGCTCTGGGTAGTGGTTCATCCATAGTACCACTTTAAAACGAATAGGGTGCTTAGCATGCAACTTGTTAAAATCCTGGAACTTAAAAAGAGTCCTGCCTTTTCAAATACTAGCTTAACACTGCACTTTATGAAAGAATGGTAACACCACCATTGTACCCTCATGGCTTCTCTGGTATATTTGTGGTAATTTTTTTTTTCTTTTTTGGTATCAGGGGTACTTAACCACTGAGCAACATGCCCAGCCCTTTTTTGTTTTTTATCTTGCAAAGGCCTCACTAGGTTGCCAAGGCTGTTTTTGAACATGTGATCCTCCTGCCTTGGCAGTTTAATATTTTCCAAATGCTATTGACTGCCCCTCCTCCCTTTGGTAAGTTGCTGGGGTTTGGGTTGAATCAGTAGAATATTTTTCAGTTTACAGTTGCAGGGTTAGAATACCTTTGTTCTAGTAATGTAAATTGAGTCACTGTTTGATAAGAGGTAAGCCCGGTAGGTGTCGGATTCCTAGACACTCAGCCTTTTTTAGGAAAGTGAGTTCAGCAAACATGAGGAACTTTGAGAATTATGAGAAGGACTATAAAAATAGTCAAAGCCCTTGAAATTTACAAGTTTGGTCTATAGCTTTGCTTCTCTCCTTTTTCATATTTTATATGTTAACTTACCACCTACAATAGAAATATTCTTTCAACTACTTAAAACTTGGAACTTTGAGCCTGGAAAAAAAAGGAAGTTCTAGCTATACCTAATACTCCCTCTCTACTCTTACATCACACTATAATTTTTTAGGGAAACTAATATTTTAAATACAGGATATGGACAGTACAGAATTTATTCAAAAGACTAATCATCTTTACATATATACATGTCACTACAAATTTGCCATTGAAACAAAGATTGCAATTATCAGATTGCCAAACTTCGAAAAAGAATTAAATTCATTTACTAGTACATCATCTTGTGCCAGCATGGATTTTAAGGGATTCAGCCAAAGGCATAAGGTGGGTAGTGGTAGAGCCTAGACTTGGGAGGGGAAAAAAAGCAAAGTAAAAGAGTCAAACAATACAATAATAAGTCATCCCCCACATCTAAACTTTTATTTAAACAAACCCAACTTCTATTGCACTGTGGCAACAGGCCTCTTAATTCTCTGTGTGGTGCCTGATAGACCCAACCTGATCTTTTCTTAAAATTGGGCATCTCGCCACAAAGCCATGAAAAGCTAATTTCGGCTTTACTATAAATTACTGCAAATTCTGAACCTGCTTGGAATGCCTGCCCGTGCCTTGAACTCACCCATGCCTGG